GTGCAGAGATTTCCTACATCCTTCCTACACCCTTTCTCACCCCCACCGACGGTCTCTGCTTTCCACAACAACCCACCAGAAGCCCTTTCATGGCAGCTTTCATGTGCTAAGACCCCAGCTAACCACAGGGACTGAAACAAAGCCTTAGTGTACTGACTCCATTAGGGTCAATAACTGTGTTTTTAGTTCTTTAAGAACGTTTCAGGAAATAGCATGGGATAAGTAATATTCTATTTTAAATTTCTAAAAATGTTTTTAAAAAAAGGAATAAGAAAATGGGCACAGTTGTGCGTATACATAGCAGGTTCATAGCACACACATGCTACCATCAGACAGGTCCTGCGCGTCTTTTATAATGGGAACAGACTTTGTGTTACCAGTGAGCTCCAGGTCCTCAAATCAGATAGCACTTCAGACGCAGCGTGCTTCGGGCTGACCCCTTCTTACATGCACAAGACAGGGTGAAGTTGGAATTTTTTCCAAAAGGACAAAAATCAACTTTATAGCATTCCTAGACCTTTGGTACCCATGGCTGCTGGAGAAAGAAACTGCCCTTCCTATAAAAGCAGTATTTTTAAGGAATGTCTCTTAGCAAAAGAAAGGGTTTCACTGAAGCTAAAACAGGATCATCTTTCACAATAATGAACCAATAGAACCTAAGTGAATTAACTTGTACGAAGCCAATTCCTCATGATGGATATTAAGTTAAGCCAGCTAGCAGATAATTCAGTGTATTATCTTTATCTGGCTCACACAGGCCAACACATTAAATCAGACCACATGCAGATCTAGAAGTGCTCATTGGGTCTAATAAGATTTCTATTGTTCCCTGGGCTAAGTTCCTTGCTGCCTCAGCACTCTAAATGTTTCTATCTCAGACTATCAAATGATGAGGAAACAAAGGGTTTCTCCTTTTTGTCTCATCCCTCAGTATTACAAGTATCATCTCTTACCTAGCTCCCTCTGTCTCCCTTCAGAAAGCCTAAAGATGAGAATCAGGACTCAGATTTCAACGCTACATTAGGTACCAAGCCTTACATCAGCTTGAGCCTTGCCTGAGCTGTGCAAATGCACACGATAGAAATCAATGTGACGCTATAGCTTAAAATAAGAAAACTGTCCTGGGAACCGGGGTAAAATTTGGGGAAGGAAATTTAACAATGCATTTACACAGACATGAGTCAGGTCTCATTTCCTTTGCAAATGCCACTTCAGCTGCTGCTCTAATCACTGTCCCATTTAATTTTCCACTATTGAGTAGAAGTACATTAGCCATACAGTTCTGAGAACAATTTAATCAGTAGCTCATGTTCAAAGAACATTTCTTTCGTTCTGCTGGATTTTGAGTGAGAAACTTTTCAGTGTTAGCGCTCTACTTTTAGCAGTCGTTCATTGAGGGTTGGCCCTGTGCAGGTGACCTGTGGTCATTGTGTCTGGGCAGGACATAAACGATGGGAGCCCCTTGGGGCCTGTGGAGGCCCAGATAATAAGTGATGCTGATTCTTGAATAATGTATGATGTTTGGATTTTGATATGAAATAACATAGGGAGTTACTGCAGATTCTCCCAAGGACTAGAACATGAAGGCAATAGTATTTAGAGGTTATTCTGGCACCTAGCTAAGAGGAACTGCAGTAGAGGATGGTCTTTTCCAAAACACTGTGTTTTCACTATGCAAAACTAAAATTGGCAGAGACAGTTCGAAAACCATTACAGATACCAAAGTAGGAGGTAATGGAATCTTGTTAATAGCAGCTGTAAACTGAGTGAGGCTTTTGCCTGGAGATCAGTGAACACATTAAACAAAGAACATACTGAAGGCATGTTAAGAGGGACTATAAATTATAAACAGAGAATTCTATGGTAAAGACGTTGATGTTGTAGAAAGTGTTCATCTTCCGTAAGTACCTCACTTTCTGCCACCATGTGAGCCTTTTAGAGCATGAAACCTTCCGTCCCCGTGCAGCACGTCTACGTGAGCTGCTTTGTATGACACATGGTAGGTGCTGGGTTCCCTCTAGTGGTACCTGGTGGAGAGGAGAAGGTAAGTCCGACAGCAGTGATAGTGACACAAGCCCAGCGCACACCACAGAGAACGGTGAGTGTGGGGAGAATGGAACTTCCCAAGAGCAGAAGGGAGGTCCCAGAAAGGCTTCATTTCTTCACCATGGTTTCTCCCATGGTGGATCTGTACCGTTTGGGAGCCGCTATTTTTGCAGACAAGGACTAAAATAGTCTCTGTAATTCAAGTGCAACACAGTCATTCAAATGTTGTTCTCTGCCAGTATAACTCATCCATTTACACCCAGCTCTGGTGTTAGGCTGTCCATCCCCACAGCCACTGGTCCTCCAGCAACGCCCTAAGTGACCCCTCCTCCCATTAATGCATTCCCTTTGTTGCCTTGCAGCACATGATTGCAGACACCGTGCGGACGCTGAGACACTGCAGGACGAACCAGTTTGGTGAGTAATTGAAGTCAGGTGTGGAGTGTAAATTGCCTGCATATTGGGCCTGACAGTGACGTGTCACAAGTATTTGGCGGCAATAAATATAAACAGCTTGTAATATTTAGTGTATGTCTAGGTGTGCATATTGTATGCATACGCTAGATTTCACTTTGTTTCTTCCCTGGGATGTTTGGGATTAGAGGAAGAGATGTGGCGGATCATTATCCCCTTGTGGAAGCAAGTTTACCCAGTCCAGAGGGACTTCAGACAATCAGAGGCTCTTTGCCCCACCCCGCCCCAGAAAGTCTTGCTTTGCTTCCCCTGTACCTTAATTAACTGCTGAGTTTAGCAGGGTGAACCTAGCCCTGACCTCCTTCCTAAGAGCCTTCCTGGAATAGGACTCTAGTCTCTAAAAGTGTCCAAAGCAGCCACCCCAATCTTCTCTCCTCTCCAGTAATACCCTCCTGTCTAGCGCTGCCCTTCTGCTGAAAATGTATTTGTCTGAGTACATGCATAGGCTCCCCACTGATACTATGTCGGTAGGAATATGTGTTCCATTTTAAATCTCAGGCATCGCTCATGATGCGTTTAAGTGGTGTTAGCGCATTGCAGGAAGGAAGGAAACCGACTTCACTGGGTTGAAGGAGCTTTCCCGTGGGCAGGAACTTTGAGGCCAGTCTTAGCGAGTGGGCTTATTAACCCTGTAGGTGCAGGACAGAAAACCAAGGTGTGAGAGCGGCCATTGCTCAAACGGAGACTGTCTGACTCTCTCACCCTCGCCCTTGGCTTCACTCCGGACAGATTATAGAAACATAAAGGGCAGAAGTATAAAAATGTTAACAGCAAGGACAGGAGAATCTGTAGAAAATCAAAGTCCCACTTCCCAAGGAAAGTATTACAAACGATTTGGTACACATTCTTTTTATTTTTGAGGGGAAGAGATGGATTTTTCTGAGACAGATCTTACTTTACAACCCTAGCTTTGGACTCGCTATGTAGCCTAGACTGGTTCCAACTGGCAGTAGTTCTCCTGCCTCAGCCTTCCAAATGCTGGGATTACAGGCATGTGTCACCATGTGCCCAGCTAGTACACATTCTAAAAAAATTTTTTTCTATACAGTGCTGCTCTTGGCTGGCAATATTGTCTTTCCAAAAAGCAAATTAGAAACTCAACTTTGGAATGTACTAATTTTTTTTTTCAAAAGGAAAATTGTAAACCCAGAACTTAATTTTTCTAAATAGTCACATCCATTTAATATCATTGGATATATGCTCACAGAACTCTTCATTAGACAAGTACACTGCAGTTATAGTAGGAGCAGTAATAATGACATCTTCATAGACATTCATTCATCCAAATATACTAGCATAATGTTGCTGATGAGTGTTTCTTTCATCTTCTTTTGGATACTTAGCTAATTCTAAGACACCGGCCCACATTTAGCGTGAGGTGCTGGTTTATATGTGTTTTCAGTATGGGCATGAAGGCTACCCTGGCTTAGCAGGCCCTGAACCTCCCACTCACCTCCCTGTGTAGCACTAAAAGGAGACATTTAGAAAAACTGTCAAAAAGCCAGGCAGAGTGGTGCACGCCTGTAATCCCCACACTCAGGAGGCTGAGGCAGAAGGATCACTGGGAGTTTGAGGACAGCCTAGGCTACACAGTGAATTTGGGGATGGCCAGCCTAAACTGTAGCAAAACCCTCTCTCAAAAAATAGATGAATAAATAACTGTCAAAGCAGTTTATATTCACATATTTATATACCTTAAAAACTGGGTTGGAATTGAATTAGCTGAGTTTATTTGAACAGCTTCTCTAAACTAGTAAACCAGTGTCAGCATTTGGGTTAAAGTATAAAATGGTAATCGAGTCAGTTATAAGTTATGAAGTGCCACTGGTGTCTGTTGTCATTGCTGGGAACATTCATTCTATCATCTTTTTAAGACTTGTAAACTGACAGCAGTTTTTACAGCATGATGTTTTCGAAACTGAAGTGAACTAACCCAAAATTCAGCTTCGCAGGGTCTTCTAGCCACAGCATTCTAGAGTAATATACCTTTTGGACCCTGATAAAAGCTTTTAGTACTTTACTCACTGAAATCAGGAAGCCTTGCCATTAAACCTAAGAGTTGCAAACCACTCACGACGTAAAATCTTGTTATTTCCATGTGAAGCCTGTGTGTGTCATAGAAGTAGGAGGATAAGAGACTTCGCCTAGGGGCTGGGGTATAGCTCAGCAGCACAGCATCTGCCTGGCAAGCGCAAGGTCCTGAGTTCAATTCCTTGTACCAAAAACAAAAAAAAAGATTTTCACCTAGGGAAAAATGTGCTGCAATAAAGTACCCAGCTTCCTGCAGTCCCCTCCCGAGCCACACCCTGCCCGTAATCCCATGCAGGGGGAGGATGCGGTGTCACTGTCCCTCACGTCCACACTGTCTCACCATAGCACTGGTAAACCAGTCTCTCCACATAGCAAGTTGCCTTGTCTTTGTTCCTTTTCTGCTGTACTAGCCTTGCCCATTGTCTGATCTCTGGTTTCTTCCCAGACTTGTCACTAGCACAGCACATATGAGTTCACAGCACGCTGACACCTCTTGCGGCCCCTCAGTTCTTTGACTGCCCTGAGTTTGTGTGTGGAGAGACCTTTGGCTCATCCTCATCTGGGCAGTCGCAGCCCATGCACATACTTCCTGTTCCCTCTTTGCCTGCTAACCACCCCTCACGTTAGGTTCTGTGGTATCTGTTCATTCAATTCATTCAATCTTTTTTTTTTTTTTTTCAAAAGAAAAGGGTGCCATAGAAGTATATAAAATCTAAAAAAAGAAAAGGGAGGGGGAATGGCTGTTGTGTTCATATACTAAATAGATTGCCTGAGTCCTGAAAATTCAAGACTACATGAGCTATAGCAGGCTGTCCACTGTGTAGTGCAAGGGCGCAAACCTTGGACTCAGAAACCATAGGGCCTAGGTTCAAATCCTGCCTGTGCTACTTGTATGACTACTCCCTGTCCTCTCTGTGGAGAGGGCAGTGGCATGACTTCTGAACAGTATATGCTGCCAGGTAAGAAGTGCTGCCCATACCTTGCCCATCAGCTGCCCAATCATAGGAACCTAGCCTGAGGCACTTTTACTCTTGGACAAGATTCTGCTTCCAGGATTGCCACTACTGAGGTGGGTGTCCTGGTACTTAGAGATAGCATCATTGCTCTCATGAGGCTGACTTTTGGTTTTTCCTCTAAAATATTAATAGGAAGTGACATGTCTCCGAAGGAGCATCACGAGCTGAAGTCCTATGTTACCCACCTGTATGTCATCGACAGCCAGCAGGCCCTGTTCGAGCTCTCCCACAGGCTCGAGCCGAGGGCGTGAGATGCCACCTGCCTCCTGCGACTGCTGCGCTTGAGCCACAGGAAGGTCTCTGCCCAGCATGTTGCTTCCTGTGAGAAAAGAAGTTGCTGAGTTTTATCAGCACACCACAAGACGTGCACAGGAAAGGCAGCCAGCGCGTGTTCAGGAAGTGATCTCAGCCGCCAGGGATGGGAGAGGCCCCTCCGTGATGCTGTTGGAGCAAGAAGGAAGGAAGAGCTGGCAGCGTTCTTGGAACAGAGAGGCCTGGTTTCTTATCATCAGTTGCTGATCTGGTCCGGGTTTCAATTTGAGAGGTGCTGGCGTTGGTAGGAGAAAACACAGCCTGACACACAGTGAACAGATATTTCAATATGAGTGTGCCTGCAGCGGGAAGACAGTAGATTACTGCCTTTAGGTCATCAGAAGATGGTGAACATCCAAGACAGCGAGGGCGTCTCAAGACATCCAGGCAGGGGGAGATCTCTCTCCATCCAACTCTGACATCGCAAAAGCCACGTGAGTCTGGTCCTGCTCCACTGTGCAGGTGTGAGATGTCAAGGCGCGCACTTCTTTGCATCCACAATCACTTACAAAGTGTGACTGCAGGTGCGGTTAGCATCTGTACAGCTGCCTGCTTCTATAGGCGAGGTAGACATAGTTGCTTTGCCAGGAGGGAAAAAGAGCCGTCTTGAAGCAGTTGACTCCTTGTTTAATTCCTGGGGATTTTCTGTCATGTTTGTAAGCAGGAGCGTATTGTTCACTGTGCACAGTACGACCTTCCGTAAGTGCCCAGTGCCTGATACACTGTACGTGCTCAGGAACAGCTCATGGAGGTGAGAATCACAAACATTGGTGTTCTGTGTCTCATGAGGCCCTAGTGTTTTGCAGCCCTCACACACGCGCGCTGCCTGCGGGATGGAGTGAGAACAGCCCAGCGAGGCAGAGAAGCTGCATGTGTGAAGCGCTCAGCGCTAACAAGAGTGAGGTGATAAGGATAGTGATTACCAGTCTTTGCGCAAGTGAAACGTGCCCAGAAATATCCAGATGTCTGACTTACGCTGGAGACTTAGGAGTCCTCTAGTCCGTTTCCCAGGCAAAGCAGGAACACTCGCTATGATTTGCCATTTTGCTTTTTTCCCCCAGCATCTTAGTTTTGTGAGTCTTTCAGATTCCCATTTTTACAAATTGAGCCTCCTCTAGCAAGTAAGACTTCTCACTCTTCTCATGGACTGGTTAGAGGGTTTCCTTCAGGTGATCAAAAAAGACCGCGTTAAAATAATCCAGTCATTCCTGATAGCTAAATACTTGTCACTGGCTAAAATGCAAGGTCCTGCTCCTTGGGAAAATGCAGCCCTTCCTTTTCTAACCGTGCGAACCGGCTGTACTTCTCACGTTCCTGCTCAGTGGTCTGGCAGGTAGGAACCGGCGCAGGCCTGCTTCCTTTTTGTGTCGTCAGCACCTCGCTCATCCTGCTTCCTGAGGTGTGTCCACTGCTTTGGATGCCTTTACAGCAGTGGTGTTCCCTGGGCTCAGGGGCCACAGTGAGCTTGAGGCAGTGCTGGAACGAACCATGTGGAGGGCATTTCTGATAGGACTGTCAGAGAGAGACGGTCTGGCTCAGCGCATAAAACTTCATTCCCAAACATGTATAGGGATTTATAGGAATGCTCCATCCACAGCTGGTCCACTCAGAGAAATGCATCTGCCGGTAGTCAGTGAGACCTGCTGGAGAGGACAGAGCCACAGAATCAGGAAAGAGACGCTCCTGATGGGCAAGCAGGCTCTCAGAAAACCCTCCCTCGGCAATGACTGAGGACAGCGTGGGCTTACGGCACACCCGCCCGTGTGTGTCTTTTCTTCAAGCTAGTGATCAGGGTTTGACTGGTATGATCACATGAGGCCGTTTTGACATTATCTCTGTTTTACAGTTTGATGTATTTACATTGGATTCGCATTTCATCAAGTAGAGTATTGCCTTTAAAGGACTAATTTTCACTGGAAAGTTGTTTCAGCGGAGCAGCACATCTAAACCCCAGTTTAGATGTGTACACTTCCCCACACAGAGCCGCATGTACGCAGTGCCTGAACACATTTTGGGTGGCTGTTAGTGTGTCCGGCGCATGATGAGTGGAAACGGAAGAGTGGTACTTGTCAACCTTTCGCTTGAGAGTGAAAGAAAGGGAGGCTTTTGTTCGTTTTGGATTTGCTTTGCCATCCCTGTCTTCTGAACATCTAAAACCTTTCAGTGTTTCTGAAATTTAACAACTGTTTCTATAGATCTCCCAGGCAGAATTACGGGAACCAGATTTTGCTACATAGAAAGCTCTCCCTGAGGACGAGCAGCTGTCTGGGGGCCCGCAGGACTCGGGCACACCCTGCGGGGGTGGGGGTGGGGGAAGGAGTGGGCCCATACCCTGTCCAGATGCTCACCGAGACCTCTGCAGAATCCACTTTGTTCTGACTAGAAGGGTGGACAGGAATGTGTCTAAGCCCATTCCCCACTAGCCTTTGGGAGTTCTATGATTGCACAAAATCTCCATCTCTTCGGAAAATCGTCACCAAAAGGTCTTGCACAGGTGCCTCCACGTGAGTTCTTTCTCTTATAGCACAGCTCCCCAGCAGTCCTGTGGGCCTTTGTTTTTTTGTTTTTTTGGTTTTTTGGATGTACTAACATTGTGGCAAGGCAGCCCTGCCTAGCAGTTAGTGCAGGATAGTAGAACCCTTATTCCTGCTGACAAAATTGCAACTTTTCCCTTTTTTTAAAAAATTATTCTGTACACATTTGCAGATGTTCTGTAGACTACATGTTTTATATTCACTCAGTTATGGGTTATATAATTGCCAAGTGGTTGTAGTCATGCATACTATAACCTACATTCAGTTTTTTTCGTATCCTTAATTATGTTTAGAATAAATTCATTTTGCTAGACCAGCATCCTCAAGCGGATAGTATGGCACGTACACTGAATTTAGAAGCGTGAGAATAAACACCTCATCTCTGTGCGGGGAAGAATGGGAGAGAGAATGCTGGAGACAACTCCTGATCCCAGAGCTGGCCTTTCCCTGCTGCCTGAACCCCAGCCCTGCAGTTTCGCTGTGGCCGACACACGCGCTGCAAACCCTGAATTATATGGCACAACCACTCCAGGCTTCTCAGAAACTGGCAGAAATACTCAAGCTTGGAAGATCAAGTCTACTGCAATTGCCTGACACAAGATTTCAGCTGAATGCTTCAAAGACATGTCCTTAAAATTTCAGCCTGCTTGTTAGTGAGCAGGCCGGGTCTGCTTCCGACTGGTAGGAGAAAAAAAGTTTTTAAAAATTGCCAAAAAGTTAGATGAAAATGTACTACTGTATAAAGCAAAGCTGTATATACTAAACATTTTTTAGCAGAGTAATATTTATTTGCATAGCCTATTTATTGTATTCATATTATACTGTTATTAAACACTGGGATGAAATTGATGACCAGGAGCAAGGAATCTTGCCTTTTAATATATCACTGCTTAGGACTGCTGTGACATCCTCAGCTTGCGTCAACAATTAGAAGATAGAAAACCCGCAGTCGGGGTGACTACCTAACTTCTCAGGGACTACACTTTACAGTTTTCAACCATTATAAGAACTGGTAAATATGAAACATTTGTTGAATTACCAGAATTGCCATTAACAGTGTTTCTTTTCTCATATTTCATGCTTTCTGCCTCTGTATATATGACCCTGCTGTGTATTTATCAAAGCTAGTAAGCAATAATTTATATGTAAAAATGGCCAAGCAATATAAGGTTAAAACTTATATAAGTAACTGTTACTTTATCTTGTATTTTCAAGTGTTTTTTAATTGCCTTTCCAAATACAAGACTATGTTAAAGATACTGTTTCTGCCTCATCACTTCTTGTTTTTGCCGCGATGCACTGAGTCAAATAGGCTGTGTTCCAGCCATGTGTGATACTTGGTTTGGAAGCCAGAAGTCACTTGCTCACTGGAAGAGATACATGTGGATGAAGATGGTCTGAGGTAGCCACAGGAGCCTGACCACCTATCCCACTACCGGTTGGTCACCAGCCCGCAACTCCTTATGTTGGAAATGACATCAGTGTTTTCATTCTGAGATTTGGGGGAATCCAGCCACCACCCTGGTGTCACCTTAGCCCACTTCAGTGGGGCCAGGAACTAAGAGGAGCGCCAGCCCGGGGGTGGATAGCTGAGGGTGACGGCTGCAGGTAGATGGAGTGGAAAAGCAGGGTCCTGGTGAAGCTCGGACAAGAGGCATAGCACATCATTGTTCAGAATCTTCTCTCTCATGGGCCAGTTATGCATCCTGCTCTTCCGGGTCAAGCTGGTCTTTGGCATGTGAGATTCCCTCCTGCAGGAAGATTATGTATCTTACCATCTGAACTCTGGAGTAGCCACAAGTCTTGCTCTGTCTGGTGAAAAATGGAGACTAGTGATCCATACAGCGTGTAGTCAGAGATTTATAAGGTAGCCTGTGCTTCCCGTGCCTGGTCTTCTAGGAGCCCCACATTGACCCAGGCAGAGGCGTCATCATCAGCCTGTGATGTAGAGCAAAGTCAACACTGAGCCAAGCTCTGGCCTGGGAAAGGTTCAGAACTTGAGTGAAAAATAAACTATCACCGTTAGAAGGCATTGAGATTTGAGTGGCTTGTTACTCAGCAGGATTTAACCTAAGCTGACTAACACAGTCTTCCAGGACACCTCTAACCTTCAACCCCCTTGCAGGCAATAGACTTTGTACAATGCCTGATACATAAAGCCACCTGTTGTCACATATCCACACAAAAACATCTCTTTGTATGGGCAAAAGTAAAGGTGAGTTCAAGTCAATTCTCTCACTAGGAGGTAGCACCTCTCTGAGACAATGAGCACAGGGGCGGTGCCTCTAAGACAGGCAGTGGGAGCAGAGAGAGGAGCTGCACTGCACTGAGCTTTGCATTCGTCTGGGTCCCATGGTCACCTCACATGTGGGGCTGACCCCGCACGGTCCTCCCAGGAGCTATGCAGGAGATGGAAAAGGGAAACCCTAGGCTCCTTTTACTACCAGATTTTCTTCAAATTAGCAATCCTCAAAATGGATCTTGGGGTCCTGGCCCTGCTGAACTAGCTACAGAGTTAGACTTCAGAGCACGAGGTACGTATGAGGTTCCATACTTGGTCCAAGCAGCCGCACACTGAGACCCCTATCCCGCCCAAAGTTAGAGCTGGGTCAAGTTGTCTCTCTTGGTTTTGCTTCTCTTATGGTAACTCCATGCTTGCTGAGGAGGAACGCAACCTACTTTGTGGCCAGTCTGTGGCTCTTAATTACTTTTCCTTCGACTAGAGCCTGGGGCTTTCCAAGGGTGGCCTATGTTCCCTGTGGTTAGCTTTGTGAGCATTTCTGCTGCAAGGTCATCTCACTCCTTCCCATGGTGGTCCCAGAGGAAGCTCTGCAGCCTCCTCCGCCACTCCTCTGACCCTGAGTAAGGAACTTCGGTTCTCACATGGTACTTCCATGCCAGCAGGCAAGTAGGGACCGTTTCAAACTCTACCTCACCCCTGCCTGACCACACCATGTCACCGCTTAGTTTCTGCTACAGCAACACCATGTTGGAGATCTTAACAGGTCTGAAATAGTCCCCTGAGACGAGAACAAGCTTCTGGCATGGGTTTCCCTGTATCTCTGGGAGTTTCTCACCTTTTAGGTCTTCAGCATGGAGATGAGAAGGTGGAAATGCCAGGAGCCCCTGTTTGCCCTTTCTTCTCCAGGAAGACCTCGGAAGGCAACCCCAGCCTTGGTGGCACCTTGCCTAAGGCCAGTTCCACCGGGAGTGGTGTTGAGCTGTCCTCTCCAGAGGACCCCGAATGCCCCATTCCTGCCCACAGCTTTTGCCAGCTCCCAAGCTGTCCTCACGGGTAGAGTCTACAATTGCTAGAAATTGAAAGCAGTCATCTTTGGAGAAAATCCCTGCAATAGTCACCTTGTTCTTGGCGTCCAGACCAAAACCAACCACAGCAGCACAGTGAAGCAGACTGACGTCTAGAAAGCAGTCAGCCTGCATGGAGGCGGTGGCAAGAATTCCTGGCGTTCTGCAGCAGTAGCGGCTCTCAGGACCCTTTCTCAGGTACAGCGGGGCATCGTGAGTAGTGTCACATCCACTCACCCAAAACTGCCAACGGTCTTCACTCCTCACCTGCAGCACCCTCCCTCACCGCACCCTCCACCAGCTGCCCCGCCTAGTTCTCCGCCTAACTGCAGAGCCTCAGGCCGGTGCCTGCCACTACTCCAGTCACTGCAGTAACCTGCCTCGTCTTCCTCCCCCTTGTCTGAATGTCCCCCAGTGCAGCATCCAGACTGCCCTCAAACAAATTTGTGTCCCCAAAACAAATCTCATCATGTTTCTCCCCAGCTCAAAATCCTTCCATGGCACCTGCTGGGCTGTGGGAGAAAACCTTAGTTTGTATGTAATTCTGCGTTCTGTGGTCTCTGCAAACCCATCCAAAGAGATCAGGCAGAGCTCCCTGGGAGACTAAGGACTTGTGGCCCCTTGAAATGGATATTCTTCAAATTGATTCCTGCTAATTAACACAGCTGTCGAAAATAACATGCACCAAACACTAGCCAGATAAGTGTATCTGAGACTTACTTGCTTACCTGAGGATTATCAAGGTGTTAAATCTTGGAGCCAGACTGCTAAGATGTATATATACGCAATATATATATTTATCTGTGTGTAGGGATGTGTGCATTATGTGAACGTACATGCATCCTGGCCTTAATAGGAAGAACCCAGGCTTCTGGAATTGACTAAAGGACAGGGAGCTCTCTTCCACCTGACGGCAGTCCACAGGAACGGTTCCAGCAGGGACAGCTGAGGGCTGTGCGGTGGGCTTGGGAGGGCCCTCGCAGCCCTGGCTCTTTAGAAGTTGGAGCAGCTCCAAAGGTGCGAGACTGGATTCACTTCCTGGTTTGCTTGGGGCTTTACATAAATGACTTGACCGATGTAGGAAATAACCACTCGTGTCCTTTTGTATTCAGCCGACCTGGGCTAGGCTCAGAAGGAGCTGGAAGGGAAAAGGCCGTGGGCGGAGGCCGGAAGGGAGTGCCTCGCCCTCTCCCTGCCCTGTGCGCAGTGCTGACTCCGCACCCCTGCCGTGAATACACAGCAGAGCCCCTGAAACCAACACCAGGGCTGCTTCCCAGGGCCACGCCAGCTACCGCCTCCCCAGCAGCAGGTCCTTGGGTTGCTGAGGCCCTGGCTGTGCTCCTTCTGGCCTCCAGCTCGCCCCATCCTCAAGCCCCTGTGTACCGACCCAGCACCTGGGTCTGGCCAGTCCTTTCGCCACCCCCTCAACAGATGCCACCCCGAACTCCCTCCCCTGACCCGCCGAGCAAGGCTAGGTCCACCCCAAAGCCCTTCGGGCGACTCCTCCTGACACCAAACCCTCCCTACCTCGTATCCAGATTCCAACAGCAGGTCCCGCCTGTCTCTCTAGGAAACCACCTTACATTATCCAGAGCTGGGAGAGCTGGGGAATGTTTCTATCTCATTCTTGGCTGCTATTTTCCATCTCCTAAAAGGGAATTAAAATACTATTGTGTGAGAGATATGAAAGTGTGTGCAACGTGTTCAACACGATTCCTGGTACATAATACATACTCAGTGAATGATAATCCCTTATTGTTATTATTACAGGATGCAAGTGAGGGGATTTGCATCCACATTTTTACTCCACCACCGAATATGCATGGATGAACTTCCCTTGCCCTTGTTCCCCTTACTGTTGGATAAGATAATAGCAACACCTCTGCCACAGAGCAGTTGTGAAAATGAAGGGGACAGTGCAGTCCTTTGTGCCTACTAGAGTGAAATGCAAATGTTTCCTCTTGGAATCCCTGCATGCAAAGCGGAGGCAGCCCCTACATTTTGCTGATTTATCTAAGCAAAGATGGCTGCATACATAGCCTGCCAAGCTGTGATCATACTAATGTTCAAGTATTAATAGAGGAAACAAACACCCAGGCAGCCCTTGGGTATGTTCACCTCCTCAGATATGGTCCTACCACTGCCTTGAGGACTCAGCGGAGCTCTGCAAAACCCCCTTCCTTGGCCGCACCCTTTCCCTTTCTCCGTCATCCCTGTGCTGGGACCATGGGTCAGGACCTCTTGGACAGCAGCCCCACCTGCCAACCTGTGGGCTTCCGCAGACACTAAGGCAGCGTGGCCAATTCTGACGAGGGCCTGAGTAGTACAGGCTCCCAGACTCCCAGTGGTTGGGCATCTCTGGTTTCATTTAGAAGTCACTCCACAGGCACTGCACTGCTGATGCTAGGACTGGGTCCTCTGCTGATCCTGGACTTGGTCCTAGGCTGAGCTGAAGTCTCCTTGGTAAGGCAGAAAAGCAAAAGAGGCCAAGGGACAGACAGCTCATGCCAGGCCTGATTTTACACTTGGTGAGTGTTTCTCTTCCATAAATCAACCATGAACTCTCCTGTATCTCCCTCTCATAATGTAAGGATGCTATTGATCTGCAATAGGCCTCATCAACTACTATGATCACCTGCCACGTGCCAGGTAGTATCCTAGATGGTGGGAAAAGTCACAAACAAAAGGAAACTCCCTCCCCTGAGCTTCCATCCTATGGAAGAGACAGATCACAAACAAGTAAAATATGTGGTCATATATTTGATAATAAAAAATTCTAGAGAGAACAGGGTAAATCATGGAAGGAATTCCAGCAGGACCAGAAAGAATGGATGAAATTTTCAATAGGGAGACCAGGGAAGGTTTTCATTGTAGACTGAAATGTGTCTCCCTGGAATTAAGATCGGAAGTCCTAAAACGCAATACATAGGGCTATGCCTTTATTTTTTTAGAT